GAGTTAATTATTCACTTTTGGGAAAGGCATGGTTAAAACAGAATAACATCGAGACTTAACAGTGCATTACCTGTTTAAGAGGAAGAAGTTGAGGTTGTTCTCGTTGAGAAGACAATCTGAAGGACACTACCTGTAATCCTGCAATGTGTGAGTCTTCGCCTGTTGACTGGCACACCCTGCGGACCTGAAGGATGTAGCAGCTCTCGCTGTCCGGTACAGAAAGACTGTTCGATTTCGTACCTACAATCACGTTCGTTGAAAACGTATCAGTCAAATGTATTAGGTTTGTACGGGATATAAAAAAAATTTAACGCCGATCAACTAGTTAACATGTGCTCTGATGTGCGGAAAGTGGGAGGGGAGGGCACTTAGCTACACCAGCCAATAGTAGTAATGATGACTGGGGGGAACCTCTGTTCCCCCATCTATTTTGGTCATATTTACTTACACATTGGGCTCCTCAGAGGCGTCAAAAAACAAACAAAATCATTCATTAAACAAATAAACAACTATCAAAACAAGTGCATAGTTACGATAATGAACACCCGACATTACAAAACAATCAAACACCCAAACAATTGTTATTTTTCTTTATAGACAAAACACCAAAAAGTTATTTTCCCAAATGTTTAGTTTTTATGCAGCAATACCTTTCGTCTTCCTTCGCCATTTCCATCATGACGATATCACAAGTTACTGTCAGTAATACAATGCTTTGCTTTCCAATAAATAAAATCTTACTGCAAGCAAGCAAGCAAGATAGAAACAAACAACGAGCAAACAGGAGGGGAGCTAACAGCGAGCAAACTAGTTACATTCTTTGGCAGATGAAAATAATAAATACATCGACCTTGTGACTAAAAGGATCAACTTCAAGCTTAAAGAAACTCTATGCTTCCAGCTTTATAATTTACTCACTAAAATCGATTTTCAAAATCAGAGTAGTTTTCCACACGCTTTATCTCTATAACGAAGTCGGTGACCCCCAATTTTTTTGCATTTCTGCCACAAGTAACTTATTATCTGACTGCAGTAAAAATTTTTAAAAAATCTATCGATTGGAAAATTTTCGCGGGAACGTCCTTAAATAACACATTGCATATCACAGTATTTTCACGATCATGGCTGAAATTGTAACTGCCGAAGAGGAAAATGTAGGCTTTAGCTTGCAGGGAAGTNTGGTGGGACAAGGAAGTAACAGAGCTCATTAAGTAGAGATCACGCATAGTTCCTTTTACATGTATAATATGCCAAAACACGTATTTGTCAGTTTAGTCAAGTGTTTTATCCACACACTTGGGAAATTAAAAGATCGGAGTGATAGATATTTGATAACAATTTTTTGATAACCAATGTAACGCATGCAGCAAAGCATGCACTGGCAGGAACAACACCACACCGGAAACGCTTGCCTTCAGCGACCCCTTCCATGGAAACATTTTATAACGGCTACAAGAACATACGACAAGTTAAATAAGTTGGACGCGTTTCTAGACGACTTAGCGGCACGCGTTCTAATTTGTAAAGAATAGATCGTTCTAAGAACAAAACAGGTTTCGATTGTTATAGTTACCAGTTGCTCCATTCAAGCGTTGCTTAGTTGTCGGAAACAAAGGATTACAGTAGCTGCTGGCTTAAGCGCGCTCAGATGTCTTATTCACAACCAGCACAAGTTAATAAACGTCACAAGAATTTGATCAGTAACAGTTAGAGCATTGATGCAATGCGTCAAGTTTGATGACATATCAGTCAAACCATGTTTATTCAACACACCCTCCTAAACAAAACTTACTTAAGGTCACTGCACTGTAACTAAAGCCTTTAAAGGCAAAATTTTTCGAAAACAAATTTCTTCACTCATTTGTAGAGCTAAAGCATTGACTCAAAGGCTTAGTTAAAAAATTAAAGTAAAATTTAGAGGTTAAAAAGATCAGTAACGTTTGGATTAAGAGACTGTAAAAAAAGTAGTTACTGAGTTCGTTGACAAGAAAGCAGACAACTTGGATAAAATCTGGTGAGAAAACCGGGTCGAAGAAAACGAGGAAAGACGAAGAATCTTCCATGAAAGTAAGATGGAGGAACAAACCGCAAGCGATAAAGGCTCATGGTTCGAACAAAACCTCCTGATCGATTTTAGTTTTCTGGTTCGCGGTCGGTTTCCGCCACTTTTGTCTCTTTCGCTGACCGGGCGCTCTCGGTTTTCCCTTGTCAGAAGCCTTTCTGTTGGATCTCAATTTTCCCGTAACTGCAAATCAATATGACTGCAAAATAGTTTTTCCCGCAAATTTCAATGGGTTCTTTTTATTAGGTCTACTATACCTTTGGAAGTTCCAAGCTTGTGTTTCCTTGTTGGGTGGCACGTCCGCGTTGACAACTTCTTTGATGTCGTGTGATAAGATTGCAAAACTTTAGGAGCCGAGAACTCGGGCTTCCCGCGAAGATCGAAGATTGAAGATCGACAAATATATATTATGTTCGCCTATTTAGTTAATTTAGTATAAGTCTGCTAGTGTT